ATGACCCAGCCATCCCATTACTGGGTATATACCTAAAGGATTATAAGTCATTCTACTATAAAGACACATACACGTATGTTGACTGCAGTACTATTCACAATAGCAAAGACTTGGAACCAACCCAAATGCACATCAATGACAGGCTGGATAAAGAAAATGTGGCACATACACCATGAAATACTATCCAGCCATAAAAAAGAATGAGTTCATGTCCTTTGCAGGGACGTGGATGAAGCTGGAAATCATCATTCTCAGCAAACTAACACAGCAACAGAAAACCAAACACCGCATGTTCTCACTCATGAGTGGGATTTGAACAATGAGAACACATGGACACAGGGAGGGAAACATCACACACCAGGGCCTGTCAGGGGGTGGGAGACTAGGGGAGGGATAGCACTAGGAGCATTCGGAGAAATACCTAACGTAGATGACAGGTTGATGGGTACAGCAAACCACTATGGCACATGTATACCTATGTAACAAACTTGCATGTTCTGCACATATATCACAGAACTTAAAGTGTAATTAAAAAATAAAATAAATAAAAATAATTACTTTTTAAATAATTAAAATAATAAAATAAATCTATCACCTTCCTAGATGATAAGAAGATAACTGATATCTAGCTATTATCTTCCTAGATCTATCATTTCCTAGATTAGATGACAGATTATAGATAGATAAATAGATGACAGATAGATAAATTCCTCCTTTCAAATAACCAGTAGTTCCCTGTGGCCTCCAGAATAGAGCTAAAGATGTCAAAGATCTTCAGAGAAGACTCAAAACCCCAAAGGACCAGCACCATTGTGCTGATTCTGCCATAGAAGTTTCAACTCTTTGTCTTTGCCACTCTAGCCTCTTACTAGGAGACATCGTCAGATATCCCATCTCTTACCTCTCTATCAGCCTCTATCTTTCTGAGCTTCTCAACCAACTTCTGATGGTATTACTTAAGAGTGGCCACATACATGTTTCAAATAGGCAAAGAAGGTGCCGTGTGGATGCGGTCTCACACAGGAGGTGATGGCTTCCAGGGAAGCCTAGAGCAGGAGCTCAGAGCTAGGAATCTCAGGAGAAGCAGCCTAGGCCAGAAAGACAGAAATGGAACTATACTAGTGTTAAGTTCATCTACTGTATGCTAGGTAGTATAATATCGCTTAAAGTTAGTGGTATAATAGTCACTAAAATCATAAAACAGAATTAAAGCCCAAAAAAGTAACAACCAAAAGAGGAGAAAATATAGAATATATTTAAATAATTAATTCAAAAGAAGGCATAAATGAAGAGAATAGTAATAAAGAAGCACAAATATAAAACAATAATATGTTACACTTCAATCACATCACTAAGCACATTAAATATAAATATCTAAGAGACAGACTATCAGAGTAGGTAAAAAAGCAAGATGCAAATATATGCTGCTTACAAGAACTGTACTTTAAAGACATACATAAGTTAAAAGTAAAAAGATGGAAAAAGATATACCACACTAACACTAGTCAAGAGAAAAATGAAATTGTTATATCAACAACAAAGTATATTTCAGAGCAAAGAATATTAATACGGATCATGAAGATTGTTTTTATAATAATAAAGGTGTTAATTCATCAATATGAAAGAACAATCCTAAATATGTATGTGCCCTAATAGTAAACTTTTAAAATGCATAAAGCAAAATGATAGAATTACAAAGAGAAATAAACAAATCTATAATCACCCTTAGACACGTCTGTATCCATCTCTCAATAATTAATAAAACAAGTAGATAGAAAATCAGCAGGGACGTAGAATACTTGAATAACATCATCAGCCAATCTGACTTAAGCTACATAATTGACATCATTGAACATTCCTCCCAACAAGAGCAGAATACATTTTCATTTCTAGTACACACAGAACGGTTACAAAGGTAGACCACATTCTATAGCCATACAGGTCTCAATAAATTTTAAAGGATTCAAGATTTATGAAATGCATTCTCTTACTATACTGGAACTAAATTAGGTAACTGCAAAAACTTTCCCAAATACTTGGAAGGTAAATAAACCATCTAAATTATCCAAGGATCAAAGAAGAAATAAAAAGATGAATTATAAGATAATTTGGGCCGGGTGTGGTGGCTCACGCCTGTAATCCCAGCACTTTGGGAGGCCAAGACGGGTGGATCACGAGGTCAGGAGATTGAGATCATCCTGGCTAACACGGTGAAACCCCGTCTCTACTAAAAAATACAAAAAAACTAGCCGGGTGTGGTGGTGTGCGCCTGTAGTCCCAGCTACTCGGGAGGCTGAGGCAGGAGAATGTCGTAAACCCAGGAGGCGGAGCTTGCAGTGAGCCAAGATCCAGCCACTGCACTCCAGCCTGGGCGACAGAGCGAGACTCTGTCTCAAAAAATAAATAAATAAATAAAAAGATAATTTGAACTGAATGAAAATGAAATATTTAATAAATTAGTGAGAGGTCACTAAAGTAATAGTTAGAAGGAAATTTAGAGCACTAAATGCCTATAATAGAAAATAAGAGGCACATGAAATCAATAACCTTAGCCTCTAGTTTTAGAAACTAGTGAAAGAAAAATAAGTGAGCCCAAAAGTAAGCAGAAAAAAAATAATAAAGAGCACAACAGACATTATTAAAAGAGAAAAAAAACTGTAGAGAAAAATCTATATAATCAAAAGCTGGTTCTTCGAGATCAGTAAAATTGATAAACCAACCAAAAAGAGAGAGAGAAGACAAACTATCAACATCAGAGATGAGAGATATGACATTATCAAACATTTGATAGCTCTTAAAAGGAAAATGAAAGAATATTATGAACAATTCTATAACAATACATTCAACAACTTAGATTAAATGGACAAATTCCTCGAAAGACACCAACTACCAGAATCACTCAAGGAGAAACAGATTACTTGAACAGCCATCCCTATATGTATATTAAGGGATTTGAATTTGTAGTTAAAAACCTTCCCACAAAAACATCTAGGCCTGTAAATGTCCAAATAAACATTTAAGAAAAAAGTAACAGCAATTCTACAGAAAGTCTTCCAAAAACTTGAAGATGACAAAATATTTCTGTATTCCTCCTATGAGGACAACAAAAAAAGACATTACAAGACAGGAAACCACATCAAGATCCCTAATGTACACAAATACAAAATGCTAACAAAGTACTAGCAAGAAGCAGCAGGAGCTGAATATTTGGTGATCAGAGGGACAGGCGCTGGTGATTACTGTTCCTTTCACCATGTACGTCACGCTCTCTCCCATTCTGAGCACCTAGTAGGCTGGCCTGGCCTGGTCCCTTGTGACTGGGTGGAGCCTGCCTGTGTCACTCGATGGCAGAGTGGGCCCATGCCATTCTCTCTGCCTTCAGGGCCAGCCGCTCAGGACTCTAAGAACAGATGATGATCAGGGCCCCTGCCAGGCCACTGGGGAGGAGGCGGGGGGTACAAAGCTAACACGAGGAAGAAAACACAGTTCTGGAAGTCACTGCGATTTCAGGGTTACTTTTTCCCTGCAACAAAACCAAGCCTGTTCTGACACTGCTCTGTAGCTACCACAGGCCTGCTAAACTCAGATCTGTTGAGTGGGGCTTAGGAATCTGCAGTTTTACCAAGGACTCCAAATGTGGAGCCCTCTAGGCCCAACAGTGGCGCAGAGCAATCACCCCAGTCTGCACTGCCAGTCTCAGCACTGCCGCAGGGCTCCAGCTTCACCAGGTGTGCGCACTCCCAACCATCCCTCCCCACTTCCCTTGGAGCTTTTCTCTGTTCCCTACTCAGGAACGGTGAGGAATTGATTACAGAGATTTATTTTCTATGTATCTAAATCTGTGTATCCCAAATTCTTCTCAAGATTAGACGCTGTGATCACCAGGGAGGTTGGGAGAGGCTGGCACAGTTGGGCAGGATGACAGCTGAGCTCTCCACGAAGGCACAGCTGTGCACACGCAAGCTCCAAGAGACAGGACAATTACCCATCGCGATCACAGTCTCCTTTGCTCTCCCTCGGTTCTAACATTTTCATCAGAAAATGAAACCTATATATTAATTTATCTTACTGTGCATATATTAGTTGATTATAAAACATTCTGAACACCTCTAGCTAGTTGTTACGGGTTGAACTAGGTCCCGGCCCCAGGTAAGATGACTAGACATTCCCAAGAACAATCTTGTTTTGTCAGACGAATCCTGAGGAGGCACACGAAACAATATTTTCTTGATGAGATTTTTTAAACACTCAAATTCTGAATAACATGAAAGTCACACAGATGTGTCTTGGACAGTCAGCATCGGAGGAACTGGAGTATGGCAGGACCATGTCAGGGCCTCCAGCCGTCCGTGTGTAAATGGAACCGGGCTGTCTTATCCAGAACAAAGACAAACTGAGATCCCGTAAAACACAGGCCAGCGGAATCACAGAGGCTGAGAGAGATCAACATATAATCCGTGAGCTCTAAAAACCCCTGAAGAAGAAGAAGAGCGCCTGCATCTGCCGAGCGCTGCGAGCGCTGCGAGAGCTGGTCGCCTGATGCCCCTGTTACCCAGGCAACCTGCACGGCACCCACATTCGGGAGCTCACCAAGGCAAGGCTGGCTGTTTCCCAAATAATCTATTGTTCCTAATACATTCTAGTCAGTAATGATCTCAGTAAAATATCTACTAAAGTGTTTAAGTGATGAAAGTGCAAAATGGTAAGATGGCCCTAAGCCCTCAACCTGCTGGCTGGTGCTCAGCATCTGCTGTTTGTTTGTTTGTTTGTTTGTTTGTTTTTGAGACGGAGTCTCACTCTGTCACCCAGGCTGGAGTGCAATGGCATGATCTCGGCTCACTGCAACCTCCACCTCCTGGGTTCAAGCAATTCTCCTGCCTCAGCCTCCCGAGTAGCTGGGATTACAGGCGTATGCCACCATGCCCAGCTAATTTCTATATTTTTAGTACAGACGGGGTTTCACCATGTTGGCCAGGCTGGACTCAAACTCCTGACCTGATTCAGGTGATCCGCCCCACTCGGCCTCCCAAAGTGCTGGGATTACAGGCATGCGCCACCGCGCCCAGCCTAGCACGTGCTCTTGATTGACAGGGCACATCACCTCCTGTGCCGGGTTATGTTGCTGTATTTGCAGTCATATTTAGCACTCAGGCTATGATACACTATTAGAGCACTACAGTCTATGTTAGTGTGTTTGTGCCATACCCTCATGACTTTAGGAGGTTATGACATGTGAGTTGTACATGGTGGCCATAACTCCCCACATTTTAGCACAGTACACTTCACAGAAAACTGAAGAGGCACAGCTCATGACAGAGCCCTGAAAACACAGTGTATACGAGGAGGCGGACGTGGAGAGTCACTGATACTGAGCATCCAGCAACCCATCGACAGGTACTTCCTGATAAGAACTTCCCCTGGTAAACAAACAATATCATGGTAATGAAATCTGAGCCTACATGAGAGGCACCTGTACTCACCAACAATCTCACTGGGCTCCTTGTTATAAAGCTTTCTGTTCCAGTAAAGCAGTCTGAGGAGTGGAAAGGAGATCAAGAGAACAAGGCAAATCCCAAGGAACATGTGTGCAGTGAATCCGGCAAAGTCCAGGCCCTGGAAATAGACAAGGGGAAATGGAATGGCGACGGGCCTTTCCTCTGCGCAGGCAGCAGCTCCCCGAGTCAGGGTCCAGGGAGGGCCAGAGCCCAGGAGGGAAGGGGCTCACCAGGAGCTCCAGGACCTTAGGCAGAGGTGCTGGAGCCCAGCACAAAGCCCAAGGAAGACCACGGATTCCTCACCATGATTTTGAAAATTGTTAAGGTTTGTTTCTTTCATGTCAAAAGCCAAAAACCAATTCTTACACAAATGACAAGCTGTCATAGGGAGAAACAAAAACAGGCTACCACATCTAACTGAACCTTGGCTCGGTCCGTCTTCACCACTAGATTGACGCCTTCCCCAAGATAGGGTGAAAAAAGACCGAATGGGACAAAACACTAAACAGTCTGACAATATTTGCCCATTTAAAGGTAAGTTGAATTTTTACACATCTCACTCCGTTGGTTGGAAAGAGTCCTCACAGCTGGAGCGCAGAGCCCTTCGCAGGGCACCCAGGGCCCCTCAGGGCTGGGATCGCTCAGAGCATGGGGACCAGCAGCAGGGATCCAGGCAGGAACCTCTCCTTCCCGGCTTTGCCTGCCTGGGGCTCTGCACATGGCCGGCCACTGAGGGTATCTTTACAGCTGGGCAAAATCCCCACTAGGTTGATCTGTCCTGGAATAAGTCAGTATCGTCACTGGTTGGTTCTCTTCTTTCACTGACCATGTGCTTTTATACCTTCAGCACATCTGTGCAGGCACCTCCTGAGCCCCCAGCAGGACAGATGAGGCTCCTATCCCCATGAAGCTGGCCATCTGGCAAGAACTCAAGGTCTTTTCTGTAGCGTCCACGGATCACATGTGCACAGAGGGGGTCAGAGGCACAGTGACAATGCACGACCATGGGGAGCGACAGGCGGCAGGGTGGAAGGGACAACGGGCAGTCCGGCTCTGCCTTGAGGGCCGTGGGAGCCTCTTACACAGGTAGAGGGGTGACAAGTCACACGGAACATTAGTGAGGATCCCACAACAGGAGTTTGGAAAATCACCTTCCAAAGGTCTGGGTTTGAGTGATTTAAACTATATTAATTGTTCCTTCTTAAAATGTATGTATTTTTCTCTCACTTTTAGAAAATAGGTGAAATCACTTTCAACATTGTTAAAGATACAACACAACTAGAGACCATTATCAATGAAGTTGTGTCAAAGTTTAGAGCTTGCCAATATATAATAATCTGAAACGCTTAATCCCTTGCAGTTACCGGTACATCCAATGGTTGTCCTTGCAAACAGCATTACAAATGACAGACGGAGTTGTATAAGCTAATTCCTCGACAGATAGCAGGGAAACCACACAGAGGTGGGACTTGTGGAATGCTCTGGGTGATCATATAGAAGAATGCACCACTTTTCTGATAGTTCTTCAATGGGGGTATTACATTGAATTTCGTGTTTATCTCTGTAATTCATACCCCAGATACCTGAAAAAGGTCCACGATACTTTCAGGGGCTTATGAAACTGTTTTAAATTCTTCTAAACTCAGAAGCAAAAAAAAAAAAAAAAAAAAAAGAACCGTTGGGTCAGAGAAAATGATTTAAAATATAGTACTAATATATTTATACACTAGCTGGGTCACGAAATGCAATTGTTAGTATTTTTTAGAGAAAATGTCCCAAGAAGACATTATCCTATATCCTGATTAATTCTTGGTCCCTTTAGAACATAATAACTATAAAGTTTTGCCCCATTTGAAATGTTCAGGCAATTGGAGAAAAAAGTGATGAGTAGATAAAAGAAAAAAAAAAAACTAAGGAGGTCCTGGGTGTACGTCCACAGCAAAATGACACAGCACTGAGTGAAGCATTTGGTTGCTGCTAGACTTGTGATGGATGGATTCATCAAGTAACAGCAATGATAAGGGAAAAATCCAAACCGATCATTTTAGGAAACAGGCAGATGCAGTGTGCAGCGGGATGCAGATGTTTGAGCTAAGCTTATTAGGTGCAGGTATCTGGGCCTCCCTGCTGCTTTTACATGCCTCTGTAATGTCCTAGACTCTCCTCCTTTGTGTTCCCAGTAACAAAACCACCCACCAGCACACTCACATCAATTCAGCACCTAAATGCGCTCTTTCTGCTTCAAGGTGCCACTTCTGCTTTGCATTGTTTTGTTATGGGCTCCACTCAGTCATTTTCTTCTTAATTTTTCCTCATTTGATGGATTAAATAGTCAAATATTAGGCACGTAAGCCAACCAAAAGAGGAACCCCCAATCAGATTAGAACATTCAAAGATTCATAATCTACATATATTTAATGGGACACGCCTGTGGGACTTCGGGCCCACCAATATCATTTTCTAGGAATGACGCTTCAGGCTAGCTCTGTGACAAGTCAGAATGGCTCATTAGGTTGTTAAGGGAGGAGCTCACGCCAAAATAATTTCTTGAATTCTTGTATGTGAAAAACTAAAAAAAAAGAAAAACTTACGAAGTGTTTAACTGAATCTATTGAATATTTTAGTAAAACATGCATGGTGTAATTTGAAAATATAATCCTGTCTAGACGCTCAGTAAGGAGGGGAACCAGCACCGCAGGAATGGGTATAACAGGCAGATGGGGGGTGCGGGTCTCGCTGCTTGTAAGGGCTCCATCAAGCACGGGTGCAGGGGACCTGGCACACACGGTCTAAAGGAAGAGCCTCTGGCAGAGACATGGATCCCAGCAGGCTGGAAACAGAGCAAGCCACCGAGGGGACGAGCTCTGCTAGCCAACGCTGACCTGAGAGGAGAAAAAGGTCAAAAATGAAGACCCCTGAGTCCACAGATATTGAAGAGGTGTGTGGAAACAAACAAACCAAAAAACCAAACCTGCAAAGGAAATTCAGAGGGGGCCAGAGACGCAGAACGAGGCCCACAAGAGAGAGACACTGTGTAAGTTATCACCCAACGGAGTGGGGGGAAAAACAGCAGTGGGGGAGGAGCCAGAGAACTTCACAGCACATGCAACATGGCAGGAACACATGAAAAATGCCCCAGCATGCATGGCATGGTGGGAAAATATGAAGAAGCTTCCGGCACACACAGCATAGTGGGAAAATGAAAAGAATGTCCCAGCACGCACAGCATGATGGGAAAACATAAAGAATGTCCCAGCATGCACAGTATGGCAGAGAAAACCGGAAGAACACCCCAGCCCGCACAGCATGGTGGGAAAACGTGAAAAACATCCCAGCACACACAGAATGTTGGGAAAACATAAAGAACGTCCCAGTACGCACAGTATGGCAGGAAAAGCCTGAAGAACACCCCAGCCCGCACAGCATGGTGGGAAAACGTGAAAAACGTCCCGGCACACACAGGATGGTGGGAAAACAGGAAAAACGTGGCAGCATGCACGGCATGATGGGAAAACGTAAAGAACGTCCCAGCACGCACAGTAAGGCAGGGAAAGCCTGAAGAACTCCCCAGCAAGCATGGCATGGTTGGAAAACGTGAAAAATGCCCCAGCACGCACGGCATGGTGGGAAAACATAATTATAACGTCCCAGCACGCACAATATGGCAGGAAAGCCTGAAGAACGCCCCAGCATGCCCAGCATGGTGAGAAAACGGAAAGAACGTCCCAGCATGCAAGGCATGATGGGAAAACGTGAAGCATGCCCCAGCACACACAGCATTGTGAGAAAGCATGAAGAACACCCCAGCACACACGGTATGGTGGGAAAACGGGAAGAACGTCCCAGCAAGCCCAGCGCACGGTATGGTGGGAAAAGTATAAAAAGCATCCAAGTGCACAACGTGGGACATGAAGGGAAACCTGTCTTCTTAGAAAGATGCCACTCAGAAGCACAGGGGCACGCGTCCCTCAAGAGACTTTTCAGGCATCATTTTAAAGATAGTTGAATAGTTTTGTTCACCATGGTGAGTCTCTGTAGAACAGGCATAAAGGAGCAAATGTAACCAGCAAAGTAAAACTTTATCCCGTCAGCTTGTTAGGAGCTGAAAGTGCAGTGGGTTGGTGCACGTGGATGCTACAGCCAGAAATTCATGCTTACCCAAGGGAGGCTTGTGGCTGGGGAATAAGTGGTTGTCCATGTGGCGGATCCTGGAGGTCCTCCTACCTACCCAAACCGTGCTGGAAATTCCACCAACAGAGAGTTATCCCAAGAGACCTGGGAGACCTGAGCCTGATGCAGCAATGGTAGGTGGCAAGAACTTTCCTCACAACTTCCCGTCATTTCTGCATAATACTCAGAAAATGTGGACAAGTTTTCAGATGTGACTTCTTTACTGTTCCAAACTCTAGTACTGATTTATTATTCCTCCGAACTACATAAGTATTCAATTTATTTGTTAATTTTTTTTCATTAGCTTTAGGGGTACAAGTAGTTTTCGGTTACATGGATAAATTGTATACTGGTGAAGTCTGGGATTTTAGTGCACCCATCACCGGAGTAGTGGACATTGTACATAATATGTAGTTTTTCATCCGTCACCCCCTCCCAACCTCCGCTCTTCCTAGTCTCCAATGTTGTCGTTACCAGTGTATGCCTTTGCATACCCACAACTTAGCTCCCACTTGTAAGTGAGAACATGTGGTATTTGCTTTTCCATTTCTGAGTTACTTTGCTTAGAATAATGGCCTCCAGTTCCATCCAATTTGCTGCAAAAGAAATTATTTCATTCTTTTTTATGGCTGAACAGTATTCTATGGCGTGTGGGGGGTGTGTATACACGCATATATATATATATATATAACACACACACACACACACACACACACACATCTCAAATTTTCTTTATCCACTTATCTATTGATGGGCATTTAGGTTGAGTCCATGTATCTACAGTTGTGAACTGTGCTGTGATAAACCTAAGTGTGCCGGTGTCTTTTTGATATAATGACTTCTTTTCCTTTGGGTAGATACCCGTGGCTGGATTGCTGGATTGAATGGTAGATACACTTTTAGTTCATTGAGAAATCTCCACAGTATTTTCATCAGGGGTCGTATTAA